ATAATATTGTAATCCTCCTTAAGCCATCCATAATATTGTAATCCTCCTTAAGCCTTAAAACCGTGAACTTGTGCAAGCATCAGCAGCATATGAATATTGCAAGAAAAAAAGGATCAATAACTTACCATGTCTTAATTCGAAAATTTTGAGATTCGTGTGCAATTGGTGATTGATTTATCCACCACATTATGGAGCTTCTGAGTTGTTTCCTCATTCTTTTTGCCTGAGCATTTGTACTACTTTATTGTTCTTTAAGGGAGCGAAAGAGGAGTTCACACTTGATCTTGTGGAACAATGTTCTTTTCAAAAGCAACGAATAATGCAACTTGCAATGACTTCTCGGTAAGACCTTCACACATTTTTTACTTCCATCAAAATAATCTCACAATGACTGCATCTCGTAAAAGCTTACTAACAAGACTGGTAGATATGCTTGTTAAACACAACTCATTTTAGTTACTTAAGCTTCCTTATTAGCTTCCTAGTTATTGCATTGCCATGAATTGTATGTTTTTACTAGATTTTGATCACATGATGTAAGAGCAGCAGAGCAATGCATAGCATAGAAGTCTTACAATATTTAAATTGCTTCTTACAACAAGCTAAGCCTCATTTCAATAAACAAACGTCAGGTTAACTACATCATATTGAAACAAATAACTCTGCAGGATTATTGTACTTTGGTATTTGTTCCATATATAGTCATTTCTTGCGTTTAGCAACAGAACTTGAATGTTTGCATCCAAATATATTGTATGTCATGTGATGGTGAAAAGCTATATAGATGGAGGAATCATGTAAACACCCAATATCCCATCCAAAACTAAATTTGGCCTAAAAAAAATATTTTACTTGATATGAATATACTGGAGTGTTGTGGAGTGTGTTTGATGAGTGAAGTGAGTCACAATGATTAAATGTGAGAAAAAATGGCAGTGGCAGACTAAGGTTGCTGTAACAAATTGAGCTTGCAATTTTTTCAATGGCATTGTTTTGGGTCAAATACTCAATGGCTGTCTGGTTGCACCTTTTTGGACCAATCAGTGAAGCTGCTATATATCATCTGGACTGTGAATTCAGATATCTGCCTCCTTTGATCAAATGGGGAATGCTTCTATCAGTTTAAGTCTGCATAGCTCCGACTGTTGTCCTTCAGCTTTTGCATAGAAATTTAAGCTGTTAATTGCCACACATTTGTTGGTCAAAATCCTTTTTTTGCGGAGGCATGTATGCTTATAAAGAATGCCAAAACTGCATCATTTCTTGCTCTTTATACTGTTTCCTTTTCCTTTTTCATGCACAACTTATAGAGGATAGACATTATAAGATTTTTACAGGAAGGGAGTGTTGCAATCCATACCAATCGTGTGAAGTGGAATTAAATGTACTCAGTTCAGAATAGTTTCCACCAACTGCTTCTTGTTTATTAGGACTTAGTGTTGTTTCGGCTGTCTAAGATAAGCCATTTTTCTTTGTTTTCTGGATTTCGTGATTCTTGATTTAATAGTAATTCTCTTTATTTTCTTTCAATTGCCAATCTTACATTTTTGTCGAGAAAGGAGACAATTTATTATGGTAATGGCATTCTTCTCGAACGTAGAATGTTGGATGCCTCAATATCGTTTAGAGACAAAATTCTTCTTGACATTGTTATGGAATTTCTTTTGTAATAATGAATACAGAGAGAAAAACCAAAATCATGACTATTATATGTTCAGCCCTCGTTTGTTTCTCATTTTTCATCTATAAAAATGAAAAATATGATTGTTATCCATCACATCAAACCATCAATTTTCAATTTTTGTTTCTTGTGTGGAGCCAAATAACGACTATATTTTTCATTCTCATTCTACAATTATGAGAATCAAACGGGCCCTAAATCTCATCTGCACANAGAACTCAAGTACAACTGGAGATGAACCAACTCAGCCTCCGTTTGTTTCTCATTTTTCATCCATAAAAATGAAAAATATGACCGTTATCCATCACATCAAGCCATCAATTTTGAATTTCTATCTCTTGTGTGGGGCCCAATAACGACTATATTTTTCATTCTCATTCTACAATAATTGAGAATCAAACGGGCCCTCAATGTTAAGGTTGTTCAATTTCAGTGGGAATTCTGCTACATCACAGGATATCTGGATGTACTTCTATATCTTTGCTATGTCAAGAACTTATCTTTTTTGACCACTTGGATGGACTTTAAGAAGGCCAAGTTTGTTTTGGATTGTGATTAGTCATATTGAAAAGTAAAATAGTATTTCATATAATTGAAGTTGCAGCATTATTTTTTGTCTTTCAGGGATGAAAAGATAATCTCCCGAGCAATTGAGCTTAACGAGCAGCTTGAAATAGTTTTGCGAAGGCATGCTGCACTTGTTTCTGGTAGGACAATGTCTATATCGAGTCATATTGACCATGAGCGGAAAATGACCATATCAAGTCATGTTGACCAAGAACAGGCAGCGGAAAAGGAACAGGAAGAGGAAGAGGCTGAACAGCTTTTTAGAAGGTATGCATTTGTGTGTTGATAATCACGGTATATTACTGAATCCATTGACACTGAAATATAGCAGTTAGTCAAATTTTGGGAACTTGCGGTGTTGGTTCAACTTTTTACTATAGCTGCACAATCAGGCTCCACTAATGGAAACTGTATAAATTTTTGTTGTCACGCGACCATCATGGAAGCATGTCCTGTTTCTAATTTTTGGAGAGAGTCCAATTTATGAAGCTGAAGCAAGCTTCATAAAGTTGGACAGGGGAGGGCCATGATCATGATTTTAAAGAAATTTGAACGGTTTCCCCTTTTCAATTATATTGTAAGTTTGGGAACCAACTTGCTAGTGGAGCAATAGGCTGCGGAAACACTATTGCAGTTACCACAAAACTACTGTAGTAAAATATCAGCTAGTTTCCTTTCAGTGACATGGATAGAGATTCTTCTTTTCTCGTATCGGTTCCAATGTTATTTGAGCTTGTTATGATCATCTTTATTGTTAACTTCAGGTTTGGTTTCCATCTTCTATCTAATATGGTTTCTTAACTGTTGATGGACAGGATAAGGAAAGGGAAAGCTTGTCTACGACCAGAAGATGAAGGCTGCCAAATAGAGCGGCCGTTGGGATTTCTGGGTTGTCCTGTTCCTGGAGAAATGCTTCATCGCCCACTCATTCGACCACTAACTGTGGAGCCAAAGCAACAACTTGTTCGGCCGCTGATTATGGAGCCAAAGCAAGAGTTTGTGCGGCCGTTAACTATGGAGCCCGATCAAGAAGCTAATGGAGCTCGACCAGCAGTTGCAATTCCACCACCACCAGCTAAACATGTTGAGAGAGAGAGGTTCTTCAAGGAGAAAAAGGCAGATGTTTCTTCGCTTGATGGACATGTGAGGAACCTCTCACTACACAGCCGAAATGCCAGCAGCTCTCGCAGTGGAAGTTTAGATTACAGTGACTGAGTGAAGATTTTTGCGAGAAAAATGCTTTTAAAAGGTTAAAAGGCCATAGTATTTTACATACATGGAGGTTTGTTGTTTTCAAGGTTCCCATTGCTTAGATTGCTGATTACGAGGAGGAGGATTCGATAGCTGAAAGTTCTGAGATGATAGGTGTGATGTAAGAAGTACATAGTGTTTTATCAAAATTATGAATTCTGAATTTGTATTTCGAGTTAGACATGAATTTTCATTTCAAATTTTATCCTAGTTTTATCCTTTTAAAGAATTTCTTCTCGTCTTCACCCATAAGTGCAGGGCGTGTTCGTTCTCTGTTTTATGTTTTGTTTTCAAAAAATATCGAGTATTGGCAGAATTATCAATTAAATTGTGATATTGAAAGTGCAAATAAATAAAAATTCTTGTGCATGCTAAGTGATATCTGGTCTTATATATCGTACAATTATGCATGCTACACAATCACAAAATTCGAATTCAATGTTGTGACTGCTAAATCCAAGCTTCATTAATTGACATAAAATTCTCCACTTGCACGGACTTCCTTCAATTGCCTTTCATACTCGTCATCATCTTCTTCCTCAACCTCTTCTTCTGCTGCTGCTTCTTCAGCTCCCCATCCAAATCCAGCAACCAGCCTTGATACCGAAGGAGGGTTTCTAGCCTCTCCTACAATTTTCATTATCTCTTCAATGCTTTGAAGGGAGAAGCTTGGATTCTCTCTCTGATAGTAGACAGCCTGAGCAGACTCAGAGAGTTCCCTTGGCAGGTTCTTCAAGAACCATGGGTGGTTCTTAATATCTTTTATTGTAAGCCTCTGCAAGCCATCAATAACGGACATGTTAACCTATACATTAATAGACAGCAAACAGGATTGAAGAGGAAAAAAAAATGTTACCCTGGAAGAATTTGCAACAAAGATACGAGAAAGTAAGTGTCTGCAATCTTGAGATATATGAACATAATCTGGGATTTTGTATTGAACAGCCATTATTCTCTGCAGAATGAGAATAAATTAAGAAACAAAGAAAAAAAACCTGTTATTATGAGGTGTTTATATAGAATCAAAAGGAACTCACTGAAATAGTTTTTCTAAAATTCTTGGGATCATCTGGATCTTCAAAAGGGTAAGCTCCCATTAACATCACATACAGAGTCACTCCACAAGACCATACATCTGCCAACTATTTCATTGTACATAATAATTTATGTCAGACATAGCATGTTTAAAAACTTTACAACAAAGTTTCACATTAATTATCGAACTCTACATTGACATGTTATATCAAATTGTTATCTATATCGTATATTTCAAAGAAGAACTAGTCGATTTTCAGCTAGGCGACGAACATCAGAAACAAAATACGAAACTTAAATGTAAGTTTAATGACTTAGAAAGAAAAAGGGCTATAGGAAAGAATTACTTTGCCATCATATTCTTGGCGGGAGAGAACTTCTGGCGCTATGTAAGCTGGAGTTCCAACTGTGGATTTTGGTCTTGAATGCAGCACTGATGACTATACCACCACCACAACAACGTAAATACCATTTTAATTAATTAGTTAAATATCACATCAACTAAGAATCATTTTTTGGACGATATAAATTCTATTATAATTCAATTATTTTAATAATATCTTACTCTTCATTTTTCAATATGTAATAAATACTACAAAAATCTATAATATATTAAATACTTGTCGAAGTATGTGTTATTAATTCTTAATTAATTAAATTTCACATGAATCTTGACTCGATAAATTTTGATCTACATAAATCTAGAGTAATTATAGATGAATTTATTTCTATTCACATATGTAGGAATTTTAATGGCTCATGTATTAGCTATTAATTCTTATGTATCAAATGTAGTATAAAAATGTCGCTCATTTGCAGTAAATCATTACAAAAAAATTGAATAATAAAAGTTGAGTTTTGAGAATACAATTTTTATTTCTTAAATTTCTATCCTAATTTTTTTTCTTTAGTTCGTTTGAGAATCATCAAATCCTCTCAACAAATTGATATTAAATATTACCTTTACAATACTTATAAAGTATTTCAAAATTACGTACAATTCACGTGCAACTCTGACTAGTATTACNATGCTGATTTTGGAATAATCTATTTCGTTATCTGCTCCCGTTCTCCTGCCCGCGGCGGGCAAGTTTATAATGCCCACTCGGAGAGAACCCAACGTGGGGTTCTCACATTTGAAAAGAACCCCACGTAGGGTTCTCCTGCCACATCAGCAAGCGGGCAGGATAAGTTTGCCCGCCGCGGGCAGGAGAACATTTTCATACGTCAATATGCATTGAGAAAAGAATTAATTCGGAAATATTTGGTAGTCTATACCTTGGAGTAACCAAAATCACAGATTTTGAGGCGGGGTGCTGGACTTCCATCTAACAGTGTATTCTCCAATTTCAAATCTCGATGACATATTTGCTGCCACCCAAAATTAATATTTCAACAAGAATTAATCTAAAATTTGCAAGCAATTTTATGTAGCACGTCTTGTAACATCCTTTTAAATGGTAGTGGCCCACAAAAACACACGAGTTGTAGACATACATATATTGTATACGACTATATGTGGTGGTGGCGGTGGTGGTGGTGGGGAGGTGGTGGAAAAGAAGAAGTACAAGATACCATAAAATGGCAATAACAGACTCCAGAGATCAACTGCTGAAAGAAGTACCTAGCCTGAAAGATAAATTAAATATATAATTCTTCATAAATAAAAAAAACACTTTAAATTTTGGACAGAAAAATTGATGCATGTGGATTAATTATTTATGGATCTACAGACCTCATCTTCACTAAATCTACTGGCAGTGCAAATTCGATCGAAAAGCTCACCACCAGCTGCATACTCCATAACAATACCCAAATGTGTTGGCGTCAAAACAACCTACAATTTTTTATTTTATTTTTAAATTTTTACTTATAAGCTTAAAAACATAAAAAAATAATTATTCACACTTTAAAACTCAATTAACCACCTCTTTGAAACGAATTATATTGGGATGTCTTAATGATCTGTGGTTAATAATTTCCCTGGCCACATTTTCATCAATCTGCCAACCAAATACCATAGATCAGATCCTTTAACTTTCAACTCATAAAGAATTAATGTAAGAATTATTCTGGCACCTTGTGTCCACGCTCGATGTATTTCATGGCGACGAGCTCCTTGGTTTCTTTGTCTCTCATAAGCCTGGCTACGCCAAAATTTCCAGCTCCCAATTCTTTCACAACCTCGTACTTGTCCATTTTAGGATGTTTTTGAGTATCCTTATCAATCAAATTGGGAAGACAACCTAGATATGCTTATATATATATAGATACATATACGTGCATGTATGCATGCACCAACTGATCAATTATTGGATGTATTTATAGTTGCACTTAGATCACGAGGCCCCGGCCCCCCACCCAGTTGATGAACACACACACATATATAGGTATATATTATCGTATCTCTCTCCCACACACATTGATACACAGACTGACAGACACAAAAAGGGAGAGGGCTCTCATTAATTAATTAGTTGGAGTGTGAATGGAGAGCACATGGCGAAGTTTAATGGAGAAATGGACGTCGATATGGGATTCCATGTGGGTGAGTTTGAATTCCTCAATCATTTTACATTGTCTATTAATAGTTTATTGCCATTCATATGCTGTTCCCAGGGAGGGGGTTGGATCTCCAAAAACGCCGCCATTCGAGGAGGGAGGGGTACGAATTTTGACTTTTTGTTACTCAAAGCATTGATTTATGAGTTGGTTTTCTATTTTGAGTATACTATTGTTTTTCATTTTTATTTTTTTAAGAGATGTTATGGAGTTTGCAACTTTATAATTTAAAATTATTTACTTTGAAGTGATTTCTATGACACTGTAATTAGTATTTGAACATCTTAGGAACAATCATGCTACAGTACCATATTCCTTGATATATTTTTTGAAATAATGTCCCAGGACATTCCATCATTAAACTGTTTTAAACACAGTCAATTTTTTCATCAAATTATCCGCTCCACCTTGGCTTATATCAGTGCATCTGTTACATTTCTCCTAACAAAGTAACAAAATCCTCTTCGGCATATATTCATCGACTCTTATTATCAAGTTTTATAAGGTCAAAATCCGTCACTTTCGAATTTGACTATGGACTCCATGTACCAAGGATTTCACTTTGCTTCCTAGTAAAAAGTGACTTGGCCTTGAATGGTCCCTACCTTGAGGTCGACATTAAAAACTTTCATACAGATACTGCCATCTTTGCCTCTGGCCTACATCTCCACCTCTAGGGTGGTGACTCATACTTCACCATTGACCTTACAACCCACAACAAACTCTAGGTTGATGACAACCCTCGAGAACACCCTACCAGTCACCTGCGTGACCTTCATAGCTTGACCTTTCTATCTCAAGGAGCCTTATAATCGGCCAATGGATCATCTCGAGGCTTGACCAAGAGCACGACCCCCACACAATACCTGACCTCCATAACATCATAACACTACTCGAACTTTGCTATCAAAGTTGTACTACTTCTTGCAAGACTACATTTCTATCACAACTAGAACATATAATTCTACAAGGACTCTCAAGTTCACGAGGATTCTGATAAAGGCTAAAAATGTTCATACCCATCCCAACATGTCATGGACCTGAGGTGGTCCGCTAAGCCTCATGGTTAGGCGATGACACCTTGCCCTAGTCCCTCCAAGATGGTTAGACTGATGTCTTGAGGAGAAGGGAAGACGTCTATCCTTAGAAACATGTACAACCCATTACTTATGAGGAAAGCCTAGCCAGCCTGGTATTATCTCTTCCTTAGCTGACGACCTGAGGAACGAGCACATTTACAACCAAAATGACCATCCTGACCATAGGGATGATCGAGGAGTTGTCAAGCACCCTATAATCTGCTAGTTCTAGTCAAACTCTACCTATGGAGTCCTAGTGCTTCACTAAGGAGGCAAAATCCTACTATG